TAATAAACTTGCTGCAGTAATAACCCTTTCGTGAACGGGTACTTTTGACCTGGCTATATTATATTATAGAAGGTCAAGTCATTAGAGGGTATTTTCTGGTACCTTTACGTACGATGGTCTCAACGATGCTATTAGGTCCTGTCTACAAGAAACTGGAGTACATGATCTCGTACAACGCCTAGCAAATCCAGTACAACAAACCCAAGACACGACTAAGGACAACGAGCGCATACTGACCCATTTCTGGGGTGGCCGATTCCGGCGTGTTCCCGCCGGTTTTCACGTGCCGGACTGCTCGATACGTCAGGCGTGGATCCTGTGGAGATGTGGCAATGAAGCTAAGCGTTGGCCTCCTTTTCGTCTTCTTGACGGCCGAGACGTGCCTGACAGAAACCAGCAGAGGCGCTTGAGTGACCTTCGTTTTGTGATGAAGAAACTGGAGCACGATGCCACATCAAAGAATTTGCTCCAAGACAGTAGAAGTATCGTAGATGCCACTAATAACTACAGATCGAATTGTATCAAACAAAACAATTTGTAAGCTTATGTATTAATACTTGTAATAAGTCATGTACACTGACTGACTGCCTTGGCAGTGTATTTAGTATAGTAGTTCGTATGGTATAGTACACGTATAATTCACAGCTCTGAAAGCACAGGGAAGCAGATTGCACAAAGCGTTCTGCTACTCAATATGTTCTGTGTGAAGGAAGGATCGACGACGGTAACAGCACCATCCTCAAAGAAATTTGCAAAACTCTTACTCGTCAACAATTCAATGTCCAGGATAGCTGAGCATCATTTGTGGCACACTACTACCTTCTGTTGTCTTCTCCAGTGTAGTTGTAAACAGTTCACAGAGTCGAAAAGAACTTAAACAACAATCTATAAAAACATTTTTTTCTTGATTCGAATCAAAATTCTGCTCTTACACGCACTAATTACATATTTATCGTCGATTCACATACATGCGCAGCAACTCCTCGAAAGCAGCAAGACCATCAACATTCGAGACCAAATCCGCTTAAGTGACAGCGCATTAATCTACAAACTCAGCTGGCTCAGCGCTGTAGAACTCCGAATACCATTCCCACGTCTTCGCCAGACCCTGCTCCAACGGAGTCGTAGGCTTGTACCCCAGCAAACGCT